TTACTTTTGATTAAAATGCAGGTTATAAATATAAGGGGATGGTGTAATCTTATTGTTTATTTGCTACTATTTATTAACATGAAGGTTAATAGCAATTTTTTTTTCTTTCTTTTTGGATTGATGAAGGATATAATTGATAAATTGACCATTCGTGTATTTTTGACATGGCCTATTCGTGTAATATACGTAATTGGTGTTTTTCATTTTCAATATTATTGTTGTATCTTCTCAATTGTTTGTAAATTTATGATTAGTGATTACGATTTTATAATATTTATGTTATTTTACTTTGTTAACCGCGTGTACCACACGGGTTATAACCTAGTTTTAATTTAATAAAACATTAGTTTAAATAGAAAAAACATAAAAAATGAAAATTGGGAGGGCATATTAGTCATTTCAGTTTATCGAGGGACAAAATCCGCAACAAAACTAACTCAAAAGGACTACGACGCCAAAGAAAGTCGAGGTTTAGACTAAACCTCAGAAAAAAATGCATACCATAGGGACCACTTTTGCAGTTTTGTCTTAAATTTAATAATTTCATTTATTTTCTTTTTTTATATGCGTTTCTAAAACAACTAATATTAAAAAAAATGATGAAACAATAGAATATTGTTATCCATATTATTACTTATTTAGCTACAAAACTTTGAGGGTTAATAAGATAAAATAAATAATATTTTTATACATTTTTCTAATAAAATCTAATTTTTCTAATCAAACTAAAAGACTAATCTATTTTTTTTTTGCTTTGTTTTTTATTATAAAATTTAATTTATATCATTTTAAACTTTAAATATTAGATACAATATGTTTATAAGTTTTAAAATTATCTTATATGTCATTTTAAAATTATAATATTTGTATTTATATCTAAATTTATAATTTAATTAAAATCAAACTAATATAATATTAAAAGCTTATCTAAGAATTAAATATAATGTTACTAAAGTACCATCACTAAAATAATCTTCCATATGACAAGAATCTAATTATGTATTATCATCCTTACTGAGAAGAGACAAACATCTAATGGTTTATCGTGATAGATAAGTTAAAAGATTTTTAGATGTGAATATTCATATATTTACAATTTTTCAAGATTCTAAAGAGGAAAATTTATAGAAAGTTATATTTCTTGATGTACAAGCTAAGGTACAAATTATATCAACTAAAAAAAAATCATACATTGAAGTTTTTATTTGTTGGGACTTATGAAATAAGAATCATTTTAAAACAATAACTTCAAATCTGACATCTTCCGCCTAACCACCATCAAATATTGTAATAAATAAAATAAAATAAAATAAAAAAACTTGATGCGCCACGTATCATAGGTTGAAGTTTTTGTTTATTGGAACTTATGAAATGAAAATCCTTTTTAAACAATAGGTTGAAGTTTTTGTTTATTGGAACTTTGAAATAAAAATCCTTTTTAAACAATAACTTCAAATCAGGCATCTTCCATGAAAATCGATTTATAGGTTGAAAGGGAGAAAAATTATACCTTTTAAGCCTTTGATTCCTCTCCTTTTTGCTTGAATGATCAAATATCCACTTGAATCAACCTTATGAGCTCTTGAGATAAAAATCTTCGTTTGAGGATGGATGATGGAGCTCAAATACGTTCTTTCTCCATAAGAGAAGATTAGTGCATCTTATTTCCTAAAAGTTTACCATTTATTGTTGTTTATTTTGTATGTAAGATTTTTATTGTAAATCGGTGATTTGTCATGGGATGTAAATGTTTTAATTATAGTAGAATTTTGCATTGTAAAAATAAAACTATGACAAATCACATAGATTAGATGTAGAAATCTAGGTCGTTACAAAAAGGGTATATCCGATTCATGGAGAAGAGTCATATTTATACATGACAATTAGGGTTTCGATTAGGGTTGTCGTCTTATGAATTAGTCAAGTAATCCCAAAATTATTGACATGATTAATGGTTTCCAAAATCGCCAGGAGCTCCTTGGACCCCCACTAAGGGCGTTGTGCCTAGGACCCTTCAAGAGGCGTGACCCCTTGTCCTTACTATGGGTTGTATAATACGGTTTGGTTCGGTTTTTAGCTAAAACCAAACCATATCCATTATAAGTGGTTAATACATTTTGGTAGCCACTGGGTATTGGTTAATATTGGTTTTGGTTAATGTTTTTTTTTTGTTAATGATTATGGTTAATGGTTAATATTGATTAATCATAATGGTAAAAATGAGATAATAATAAAAATACTTTGCTATAAAAACTGAAAAATATAAAATACATTGTTATAAAAAAGTAAACAATTCAGTGTTTATAACCTTATTAATATGATAAAAGATTAAGTATATCATTTAATTCCAAATAATCATCTTTTAAAATTTCAATTTCATATATAATTACATATTATATATTTAATATTATATCATATTAAAAACATTTATTAATATTATTGGTTTGGTTCGGTTTTAGATGAAACCCACAACCGAACCATATGTATTTGGTTAATCAAAAATAAAACCCGCACCACCTTTTTTACTGATGGTTCGGTGAAAATGGTTCGATTATTTTAGTTAATTTGGTTTTGGTTCGATTTTTCAGTTAATACGCTCACCTCTTGTCTTCACCATTTTGTTGTACCAACTTATACTTCAATCTTATATAAGTGTGCACTCCGCACACATTAAACATATAATATAAAGTACAATTTATAACCCCATTAGCTCACATTAATCCCAATTACACAAATATATGGTGACACTTAAATCACTAACACAAAAACAAGTAGTCTCCATACTCAACAGACCGCACAACATATCAAGAGGATCTAAGAAGAGAATCAGAAAATGGAAATCGATCGGTGAGAGTGGCTACAAGAAGAAAATGGATTTCAATGATCAACAAAGAGAAAAAGATGTTCATAGGAGTGTAATCAAGTAGAGTCATGTTGATGCAATATCAAGTTCGACCTTGACTTAATAAAAAACTTGACTCAAGGTTAATCTTGTTCAAGCTTTTCAAGCTTAGTTAAATCAATGGACACTTTCAAGCTTTACTTAATCCCACTTAATAAAAATATTAAAAATTGAAATAACACTAAATTACAATAGAAATACCATTAAACTTGTGAGTTTGGACTAAATTATATTAATATAGAAATCAAATAAGGAGTGAAATGTAAAATGTAACTTCGACTAAACTCGCTTAAACTCACGGTAGCATCACAAACCAAGTATTGCAATAAACTGACGTGAGTCGATATAGACTCGATTATATATGTACGAACGATATTACGATCGAAGAAACTAGAAAAACTATGATTTTTTGTTTAAAAAGAGAGCATATCAGATTTTATTAAGTCTAAATGATTAAAAAGAAAGACAAAACTGCACAAATGGTCCCCGTGGTTAGCTGAAAATTGCCACTTTGGTCCAAAAAAGTTTGGAATAGCACTAGACGTCAAAACTTTTCATTTTGTTGTGTGTGTGTGTGTGTGAGAGAGAGAGAGAGAGATTTCATTTTGTTATAAAAGTTATAAAAATAAAATAGAAAATGCAAATTTTCTTTTTTATTTTTTCTTTCAATCAAAAAAAGTATTTAAATAATAAAAAAAACTGAAAAAGAAAAAAAACAAGGGCAGAATAGTCATTGTGAAAAAGTTTATAGAAAGTTGGACCAAACTTGCAACAAAATGAAAAGTTTGGACCTCTGGTGCTAGTCCAAACTTTTTTGAACCAAAATAACAATTTTCAGCTAACCACAGGAACCATTTGTGCAGTTTTGTCAGAAAGAAATTTTATATATACTTTATGGGTAAACAATACAAAAAACACTCAGTTTACACCAAAATTCTATTTTGACACTGTGTTTTTTTTGTCTCAAATTTGACATTGTGTTTTCCAGTTTGTTACAATTCTGACCACTTGACCGGTTAACCAGGTTACATGCTGACGTGGCATGATGACGTGTCAGTTTTGATGACGTGACATGCTGACATGATATGCTGACGTGCCAAATTTGATTTTTTTTACCACAAAAAACACTAAGTTTTCACTTTTTTTCGATTTTGACACTAAGTTTAATTTTTTTTTTCAATTTTAACACTATGTTTTTTTGTTCCAAATCGAACATAATTTTTTTCCAATTTTGTTTAATGACAATTTTCTATTTGAAAGCATATAAATATTTTTTTAATACATTTAAACCGTATAAATATGTTTTTTTCAATTAAAAACCATAGTTTTGTATAAATACAAGGTATTTTTTACATTCAAACCATAATTTTATGTATAAATATGTATTAGTTATATAAAAACCGTTATTTATATTAAATACACAACTTTGAAATGAGTTTGGAGGGTTGGAGGCGTGTAGTCGATCAAAACCCGGATGTCAAGTTTGAAACCCGTGAAATTTTTACATCTTATTAGAAGCTTATGGTTAGTTTGATTCTCATGATATAACTAATGCATATTTATACATTATGCTTTGAATGTAAAAAAAAAAACAAAAAAAAACACCTTGTATTTAAATAAAAATGTGGTTTTTAAACGAAAAAATATATATTTATACGGTTTAAAATGTAATAAAAAATATATTTATACGGTTTCAAATGGAAAATGGTCAAAATTGAATAAATTTTGATAAATGATGTTCAATTTGGAACAAAAAAACACAATGTCAAATTAGAATTTTAGTGTAAACAGAATGTCTTTTGTGTTGTTTACCCGTACTTTATTCATATAAATATATAATCAAATCAGACCTTAGATCTTTTATAAGAAATTATCACCAATAGAATTCAAAAGAACTCATTATTCCTGTTTAAAAAGTGGGACACCGTCATACGGTTTGAAAAGAAAAACATGGAAGTGTCAAAAAAGAAAAATAGGATATGGTGTGCGTTGGCATTGAATAAATAACATAAAAAGTAATCACAACCGTTGATTTGCAACCGATCAGCTACAAAAGCAAGACATCGCCATTGTTGGGTCCATATGTTACAATACATACATGGTTACCACAAACGCTTTTCCCGGTAAGTATATAAGCCTCGAATTGGAGAACAAGCAACCCAGCTATTTATCAGATCGAACTACCCAAAAGTTCTTATCTTTTTCCTTTTCTTTCTCTTATTTATTACACACCATTTTTTATTTTTTATTTTCATTTTTATCTTTTTCGACATTTTCCATTTCTAAACATTAGATTGAACGACGAAAGAAACCCGCATCAAGATTTTCCTATTTCTTTCCTTAACTGGTAGAATCATCCAGCCTTCGAAATCAAGTTTTGAACAACCATGAAACATAGTTGTATTGATGAAGAGGATGAACACAGCCAAGGTTCTTACTGAGCCTCCTATCAGATCTTGAGTTTTGATCTGGGTGTTTCTAGAATCCAGTGGGGCTTTGTTGAAGATTAGGGTATTCCTTAATTTCATAAACTGGTCGATAGTTTGACTCTTGATTAATTGATTTCTCTAATAACTGTTCCCCTTCGCAGAACGTCTCGAATTCTCGATTGTTGGATTGGTGATCCGATGCGATAATACCCAGGCTTGCTCGTCTGATTGTTAATTGAAAGCAAAGGTGATCGCTTTTCATTTTGTGATAATTTGATCTGTCATTTCAGTTATGAACTTCGTATATGTAGCCGAATTGAATTCTGATGGGTTTCTTATTCATCGTTTTTATCGCGAATTGTGAAATCATTTAAAGAATTAGTGTTTGATGCTTTGATTTCAATGTACAGAAAATGCAATCCGATCTTGGCAAGCTATTCATCGGTGGGATATCATGGGATACAAATGAAGAACGTCTACATCACTATTTCAGTAGATACGGCGACGTTTTGGAATCAACGATTATGAAAGATCGAACCACTGGTCGTGCTCGTGGATTCGGCTTTGTAGTCTTTGCCGATCCTTCTGTTGCAGACAGAGTCACTAAAGAGAAACACAACATCGATGGCAGAATGGTAAATCTTTCGTCTTTCAATCATGGAGTTCATGTTTCTCATTCCAAATAATGCACAATAATCATTTTCATATAATCATATTTCAGGTTGAAGCAAAGAAGGCAGTTCCTAGAGATGACAAACTCACAATGAGTAGAAACAATAACATTAGTAGCATTAAGAGTTCACCTGGACAAACAAGAAAGATATTTGTAGGAGGTTTAGCATCGACAGTAACTGAAAACGACTTCAAGATGTATTTTGAGCAATTTGGAAAAGTTACAGATGCTGTTGTTATGTATGATCATAATACAAAAAGACCTAGAGGATTTGGTTTCATCACATATGACACACAAGATGCAGTCAACAAGGTCGTATCAAAAACATTTCACCAACTAAACGGAAAAACGGTTGAAGTCAAACGCGCTGTTCCAAAAGAACTCTCACCGGGTCCCACTCCCACCCGAGCCATACTTAGTCCATATCCTTATGGTTTGAACAGGACTAATAGTGTTCTTAATGGACCAATTGGAGGTTACAATGTTGGGATGGATAGTAGATTCGGTTTGAATTCTGGATATGGGATTGGAATGGAGTTGAATTTTGAACCGAATACTTTACCCTATGGAAGGGGATTGAGCCCTTATTATGGAGATTCAAGTAGGTTTAGGAGTCCTGTAAGTTATGATGGTGGAAATGGGAACAACATTTCTTTCTTTAGTTCAAATCCTGGTAACTTGTGGGCTAATGGAGGGATTGATCCTATAGGATCTTTGGTTTCACCTCAAAATGGTGGTAATGGTGGAGGGTATGGAAGGAACACTAGCGGGCGTGGTTATGATGCACCTTTTTCAGACTTTTATGGTGGTGGTGGTGGTGGTGGTGGCTCGAGAGACGTGACATGGGGGTTGGAGGGAGATGGGATTGGTTTGTTTGGTGGGTTTGGGTATGCACATTTTTCTTGATCTGTGTGATTTACCTTTTTCATGTTGGTTGTAGGCCTGGTTTGTGGGGTAATGTGTATACCCGTTTACTGATTTGTTGCTTTTGTTTTATTTTTACAGGAATTGATGGGTAGTAGGAAACAACGGATCCGTGTTTTAGATGAAATGTGAATTTTGCATACTATGAAAAAGTTGGATATGTCCTCCCGAGCTATAACTAGATTGCTTGGATAGTGATAGAAGGTTTATAAAAGCGAACCATTTATGTGTGAATTTTGAGTTGCTTTTTGTTTTCGAGTTATATGTAAAACTAAGTTGCGGAGTATATAGTGAGAATGTTGTTATTTTTGCAACTTTTGTGGGTTGGGTGAACGTAAAGAAAGACACACAATGAATTACTACTTGTTTTAGTTTTTATCATGTTGTTGAACAGTTTGTGACTTTGTGATGATTTGCTAGTGTGTATGAAACATTTGAAGGATACCCATCTAGGGTGTATGGTTTAAAAAGAAAATCTTTGAGATTTCATATCAATGCGGTAATATTTTGTCACAAGAATGTAGGATTCAATAGTACATTTACAACTATCGAACTTATCATCGAATTCTATGGATTTTAAATGTCTTGTGAGTACAAGAATCTAATTAAGACAACATTTTTTTGTCGGGGTTAAGACAAGAAAATGATAAGATCAAGAATTTATGTTATACTACTCTTGTTTGGCATTTAATGTGTATCATTGGGATTGTTAGGTAAGGTTAGAATGTCCTTATTGATAAGTGAACAAGAAAAATATAACTAATTCTTATGATATATCCAAATAAGTTGATAGGAAGGATTAATATCTTTTTAACATACGACTATAAGATGGGAACAACTTGAGAGGTGTTTTAGTGCTCGTCGTCTTCTATGCATAAGAAACTAAGGACATCTCTCTTCTCGATTTGGTGGAGCCTACATACAGACGACAGAAAAAGAAAGGAGCTGGGCTGGGTTTTGCATCAGAACTTTGGTTCTTTGCTCTTTTTGGAAGTCTTCTCTACTGCAACTATCTGCAACAACGGGGGAGTGGGACTACCTTTTTACCGTTATATTTTTTTCCTATCATATAAGGTCATTTTGAAGACTAGTGGGTGTGGACAACATGTGAAAACACGTTACCACACCAAAAAAGTGTCACCTCACATGTCATGTCATTCATGGTGTTATAACATCAAATGAAGAAAATAGACAACATGTTATAACACCCACTATTTTTCATATCATTATTTTTTTCTATTTTTTTTAATTTGTTTATTTTCGATTTATTTATTGTTTATTTTTCCAATTTGTGTTTTTTTATTCACGTTATATTATTCATAAAAAAATATAAGACATGCAATTTAATTAAATGCTAAATTACCCATAACATTTAAAAACTAAAAATAACATTACAAAAAAACATGGAACACAAAAAAAAAAAAAAAACATAGTCCTACGTTAAAAACATAAAAATGATAATACACTAGTCATCCAAATATTTATTCTCGATCAGCTCCTTCATCTTTCAGAGCACTTATGCTTGTTGTGGTCCCATATTTTCTTCGCTAGTATAAATAATTGTTAAATCCCTCGTTATTTGATTTTCCTTCTCTTCCTTACGAAGGAACTCCAAGTGATGACGTTGCACTTCAACCTTTTGTTGTGCGGTTAGATTGTGTTGGTCGGACTTTTCTTTCATTTCTGTCAACTCTTGTGCCCTTCTATCGACTTCGTCTGCGTATCGTTGAGCGCACTTCGTTTTTTCGCTCTCGACCGATCGCGGTGAGGGGGGGGGGACCTCTTCGATGTCGTCGGGGATGTCATTTGTGTCGGCGTTGAGGTCAATGCTAGTTCGTGCGTCGGAAACGTCAAAAGAACCCGAACCACCTGACCTCTTTGATTGTACCTTCGACGATGTTGGAGGTTTAGGCCATTTTGGATTGGTTCTCACAATCTCCCATATTTTTTTCATACTCGAAAACATGACCCATTTCAACTTAATATTGTTCCCTCGCGGCTTTAAACACATCAAAATCATTTGCACCACTTTGCTTTTGCAAAGAAAATTTGTTGTATATCACATTAAACTTGGTTCACATACGACTAACTAGAGCCCATTTGCCACTAAGCATATTGACATTGTGATATGCCAGTCTCTTCATAAGTGCGTGAAACTTTCTGAGCACGGCTTCCCAAAATCTAATTCTCCTCATATCATTTCCTATAGTTGGATTTTTAGAAGTCCCGCACCACGCCACCGCCAAGTTGTACTCCTCATCCAGTGTCCACCATAGTGAAGCTTCTTCTTCACTTTTCGCTATTGCTTTCCCTTTCTTTTTCCCTTTCTCTCTAGCTTTCCGACTACCTCCCGCTTGTGTTTCGAGAACTGTTTCTTGCTTTGGTTGTGTGGGTGGTGGTCGTGTGGTTGTTTGTGGAACGAAAGCGAAAGTATTGAAAAGGTTTTGTTGAAGGCTTGAGTTTTGTTGCATCAAAGGCGATGTAGGAAATTGCATTTGGGTGATGCGAGATTAAATTTTTTCTTGAAATAGTATTTGGGGTGAGTTTTAAGTGTTTAGTAGATTCATATAAGCACTTTTATGGTGCGGAACCCATCAGAGTGGATGTGTTTGTGTTTGGTGGAAGGGGGGGTTCGGGTTTTGCTTCATAGTTTGATTGAAAGAAAATATGGTTGATTTTTGTATAAAATGAGAGAAAAAGAAGAATATTGTGGGTAAAAAATGAGTGTATGTGTGTATTTATATGTAAAGTAAAAAGGTTGAATTTTTTTACATTTATGACTGTTGGAACAGTCATTTGACCGTTGAAATCGAAATTTGCCCCGTTACCATTCTTGATCAATCACTCTCTATCATTTGGAAATTCGTAGGATTTCAGAAATCGATCGCTCTCACTATCATTTGGAAATCTGTAGGATTTCAGAAATCGATCGCTCTCACTATCATTTGGGAATTTATGGAATTTTGGGAACAAATTTGTAACAACGTAAATTTCCAAAACAATTTTTCATTTTAAAAACATACTCTCATTCATAAAATATCATAGTAATCCAATGTAACACATGTTATCTCAATAAACAAATCCCAAGATCCTCAAATACATAAATCCTCTCAGTGTGTACGGATCATGTCGGCGCCTTCCCGCGATCCTCGCTAGTACCTGAAACACATAACACAACAACTGTAAGCATAAATGCTTAGTGAGTTCCCCAAAATACCACATGCAACACATACGCCAATCGAGGCTACAATACGACCCTCCGGTCGATGTGTCTCAGCGGGACCCTCCAGTCTCGTAGCTCGTTGGACCCTCTGGTCCGGTCATAGCTCGTCGGACCCTTCGGTCCAGTCTGTGTCGTTGGACCCTTCGGTCCGGTCTATATCGTTGGGCCCTCCGGCCCGGTCTATTCAACACATAGCATACATATAACACAATGCACATTACTCATATATATACACATAGCATACAAGACCCTCTGGTCTACACATAAATACCACTCTAGGTAATGTATAGTGAGAAGACTCACCTCAATGAAATCGGATAAACTCTCGAGCTCAACGTCCCGACTTAGCCTCCTCCTATTATTCAGATAACATCCCCGATCAATATTCACTCATGATCTCATCTCTACAGATTGGGTAGAAGGCTATTCTACCCTTCCCTGAACTCTCCTGAATCAGTCTTGACCAGAACCCTAAAGTCAACGAAAGTCAACGGTAAACTTTGACCCGACTCGTCGAGTGCACAAGGGCGACTCGGCGAGTCCATGCGGGTCCTCTGAATCCTTTCAGCCTCTCTTGGCTCGTCGAGTCATACTTCCACTCGACGGGTTACACCTGTCACGAATCGCGGGGCAACCCCGACTCGACTCGTCGAGTCCACTTATGGACTCGGCGAGTTGCCTCCATGTTCATCCTCAAATGACCTCCTAAGGTCAGATCTGCTTCCCTAACTATCAGATCTACCCTTCAAATGTTCAAATGTCACGTAAAGGTGCAACCTTTACGTGCATGCAACCCACAACAAGTCATAAATGGAGAAATAACTCTAAAAATGGCAACCTAGTCCCCAATCTTTCATTTGCTTGCATAAAGCTGAGGGATAGTGACTCTATGGACCTCTCATGGTCCAAATCTGATGCTATTAACACAAAGGGGGCCTCATACTCACTAGATCTTACATAAAATGGAGGTAAAAACCCTAAAATCATGAAATCTATCATATCAACACGAAATAGAAGGGATTATACCTCCAGAGATGAACTCTCAAGATGATTAGCCCAGATCCAAGCTCCCTTCACGCTCTAGATGGGTGTTTCCTTCTTCCTTCTAGCAAAACTACACCAAAAGTGATGTATTAGCCTCTTCTTGCTCTCAACTCTCTCACTGCTCTCTCTCTAGGGTTTCTCTGGGGTGTATTGGCCGCAAATGGAGGCCATAAAGGCCTTTAAATAGGGCACATGCCCGGGGATTTAGGGTTTCACTTTACAGCGCGGACTCGCCGAGTCCACGTATCTACTCGTCGAGTCCGGTCATTAATCCAGTCAAGAACTCGCGATCCTACTCGGCGAGTCTGAGCGTCTACTCGCCGAGTCCCTCCATAAAATCCAAAATAAATAACTAAAATAAGATACCTGGGAATCCGGATGTTACAATTCTCCCCCACTAGAATCAGACTTCGCCCTCGAAGTCTTGCCCCGCAAACAACTCTGGATGCTGCTCCCGCATCTCCAACTCCGGCTCCCAAGTCAGCTCGGACCCTCTCCGATGTTGCCACTGGACCTGAACCAGGGGCACCTCCTTGTTCCTCAGAACCTTGATCTTCCGATCCAAAATCGCGATCGGTTCCTCAACATAATTCAACCTCGTATCTACCTGAATGTCCTCCAGCGGCACTACCGCTGACTCATCGGCTATACACTTCCTCAACTGAGACACATGGAAGGTATCATGAATCTGGCTCAACTCTGCAGGTAGCTCCAAACGATACGCTACCCTGCCCACTCTCGCGGTCACTCTGAACGGACCGATGTACCGGGGCCCCAGCTTGCCCCTCTTCCTAAACCGAATCACTCCTTTCCAAGGAGACACCTTCAGGAGTACGGAGTCTCCCACCTGGAACTCAAGCTCGAATCGTCGCCTATCCGCATAACTCTTCTGACGACTCTGAGCCGTCAATAACCTCTGTCTAACCTGCTGTATATGCTCTATCGTCTGAAGCACTATCTCTGTGCTACCCATCACACGCTGCCCTACCTCTCCCCAGCAAATGGAAGTCCGACACCTCCTCCCATACAACAACTCGAAGGGAGGCATACCAATACTCGAATGGTGGTTGTTGTTGTAGGAAAACTCAGCCAACGACAAGTACGTGT